AGATCGTATCCTTGGAAATTTACCAGTTATTTTCATTTTTGAGGATTCTTGTTGCAAATGACAATTAACCTGAAATTTAACTCATGAATAATTCTTACGTGTATTAGATGCCTTTCAAATATTCATTTGAAAAACACAGTTCTTTCTTAAAATGAGAGAATCATGTTTCTCGAATGAAAGTGATTTCTATTAAACATTGGAATAATTATAAAATTTTATTTTAACACATTTTAATGCTTAGTATACACACATTCTTTCATTCGCATATGTATTCAGTATACTTTATTATTTTGTTCATTCTTGATTGATTAAAAGTTCTACACATAAGAGTTTTATGTTTTATTAATTGTACTTTGATAGTCTATTATAGTCATTATCTTCGTGATGACGTGACATTATTCGATATATGCATGATTCTTGACGTAGCAGCTTTTTGTGGCAATTTAATGTGCTTTTCTCTTGCTTTTACTCCTTGTGCTTCAACGAATTTCAAAATATCAATTTGGTCACGAAGTTGTTGTCCATTAATAGGTAAGCGATATAGATTACCAACTTGAAGAAATACTTTCTCAGCTGTTAACACGTCTTTTGCGTCAGCGGAGTCTTGTTTAGCTAAGTTCTTTTTTAAAATATCTATATCATGTTCATACTGTGTCATTGTTTTTGTAAGATTATCAATGATTTCGTCGTTTGAAATGCCTGCATTTCTTTTTATATGTTCTTCTAGGATAAATAATCTAAGATACGCAACAATATCATTATTACATGGATGAATGGCGTTGACATGAAGAAATTTCAGTAGTTCCATGTAAATATCTTTAATCATTTCTTGTTCTTTTTGTAAATTATCAATATAACCTTGAATATTTTGTATCAATACATGATCATCGTTTTTGCTACTTGCGTTATCGTTCATATTAACATAAGTTAGGTTTGTTTGATATTCATATGTAATATTCATATGATGATTCCAAGAACATTCACATACACTACATTTACCTAAATAAGCTCAGTCAAAATAATAAGTTTTTTTTTTAATCATAAGATATGAATCTTTTTAAACTGAAAAATTTCAAGAATTTTTGACTAAGTCATTTATATATATTCTGTTTTGTTTTTGTTACATTTGATATTAAAGTATTCAAATAGGTTTTAATACAGTTAAGATTTGCTTGTTTGCTAATTGAAAAACCTTTGTATGAATTAAAGTGAGTCTAACAGATGAACTGATTTTATGCGTTTTGAAAATTTTTCCAAAAGTATCGACAGTTATCATTAGTTATTTTAAACTCTTGTTAACTTATATTTCAATTGACAACAAAACAAAGCAACATAGTCAATAGAATTAAATTTTGGATGATTGTTTATGAAAAGAATTTATATTTTTCTCAAACATTCCAAAAGTTTCAATTCAAAAACGAATTCTACGGCATAGCTGAGTTAATAATAAAGAAAAACATTGCTTAAATTTATTGCATGCTTCTCCTTTGGACTTCATGACGAAGAATAATTGTATTTATTAGTTTTCAATAAAGTTCGATAGCTTACCTGTCTCATGATTGATTACTTTGGATTTTTGTATTCTTGGATCATTTATAGTTTCTTGTATAACACCATCTAAATAACGATCTTTTTGACATATTTGCCTGTATATGAGTTTTTGGTGATTGTCTGACTCGACTAGTTGCAAACACTTTTTACTAATACAAACCAAGTTCGGGCGGATAATTTGCCCAATATTAGCAATATATTGAGGTAATTTATGTGTAGCATTTGTCTTTTTTTTCGAAGGTTTTTGCTTATGTTCATTAGCAAGTTGAATATTTTGTTGAATAAGTCTTATTGTTTCAGCAATTGGACGTGAAAGTTGTTTAATGAGTTGCTCGGCTGAATTTATAGAAAGTGTATTTGCAACAGCATGAAGTGGACATTGACATAGATAAGTAATAAGACGTTCATATTCTTTAATAGTATAATCCCAACTTTTCTTATAAATTTGAATTTGTTCATTATTGATTTGTATTCCCGCTTTACACAATCCACTGTAACGAAGTGTTTCATTGTCTAATAAAAATGTATTGTCTTTTGATAAAGGTATTTCAAGATGATATTTATCATGATATTCATTTATAAGTACTTGAAGAAGTTTTTTCGAACTACCCGGTGTATAAAATGTCGATCGAGCATTTGTTAAGATGAATGTTATATTTTTACTTACACTGGGTTCTAAATAATGAAGAATTTGTTTAATAATAAGTCGAAATATTATTGTTAAACGTTCTTCATTTGGTTTTAGGAAAATACATATACCATTTAAATGTTCATAATAAGAAATATATGTTAAAATTTCAAATAAATTTTCATTATCTTGTTGTGAACCTCTTGTATCACCCATACCAGGTGTATCAATTAAACGTAAATTTCGCTGACCAAATGGAAAAACAAAACTTCTACATTGCTGTGTACATGATTGACCATTTTCATTAATTTCTTTAGAATTTTTTTTATCACTAATATTTATTAGTTTTTCTTCAAAAGTTTCTGGATCAGTAAAATAAAATGAAGTTGGAATAATGACTTGCATTTCATCATGTATTGCTTCATCAAAATTATCATTAACAAGATAATTAGCTAAAGAATTAATAAATGTTGATTTTCCCACACCTGTTTGTCCCAATAAAAGAATATTTATTTCTTGATCTGGAGGGCATTGTTTATTTATTTTTAAAACAGATGGTATCGTTGTTGGTGGTGAATCACACATCTTACTTTTGTGTACTTTGTAATGCTAAAGTAAATAAATAGAAAGATTGTTAAGAAGTCTTGACTGTAATTCAACAAAAAATTATTTTAAAACCTTATTAACAATCATCAAATTCAGACTAAAAAAAATCGCTGAAATTAGGAGTATGATTTGCTTTCAGAAATTTTGGATTCAATCAACTCTAATTACCAATCATTTCTATTCGCATATTGAAACGTTCATTTGTAAAGATTTCCTTTTTTTTCCAACTTACATGATTTCAACTTATGATTTTACTGCAGTATAAAATCATGGAGAGTAAAAACGCAGGTGATGTAAAAAAAAGTCAGTATAAAAATAAAACTGATAAACATTATTTGTTTCGTTCTTCTCGAGATTCATTGCGTGAGAAGAAACAAAAAAAGACTTTTTTTTCGATGAGTCATTTATGTAAATAATTGAAATTATTTTACTGTCACCGCAGGAATGAATATTGAATTCAATCATTTTTTTTGTCTGTTTTTTTTTTAATATTTCGTTTCGTCTCTGTGAGCAATAAATAACGAGATGGATACCCAACGCAATGCTTATATATGAGTATCGGGTGAAATATTATCTTTTTCTGAATAGTGTGACTTGTAGCTCGTTGTTACTTAGTGTATGAATATTATGACGTTTCTTTTTCTCATGACTCACAATCAATGATCTCAATACTTTTTGAATCAATTAAAATTTATTTCTATTGTTATTACACATTCTTAATAAAACCAAACTCAACCGTACTTTTGGTCATTGATCATTCAATTCTTTAATAATTGCATCTAATTTGAAAATAGTTTACATAAGTATCAAATATCTACGATTAATTATTTGAATAAAAACAATGACAAACCTATGTGCACTATACCGTTAGCAATACAAAGAAATGTATGATATATGCATGCATTTAATCTCAATGAAAGTTCGATAAATAAAATGGAATATAAACTATTTTATTAAAATGTTATTAACCTTTAATCGAAATCTGTTCTATATTCTGATACGAATAACCACTCAAGAATTGGATAAACAAAGATTATTCACAACCCTAATCGAAAAAGTTCTGCCAAGTTTCTACGAGGATCTTGATTCGAATTGTTCAAGATCAATCGTTGCCGGATCCTTAGACGGCAATTGCATTTATGGACAGAATCTTAATGGAAAAATACAAGTATCTAGTTTAGATGTTTGTAGGTTTGCTTTTAAAGTATATTTTGAATTTCATTTTCATTATCCTATCAAGATTTCTAAATGATACTGTTCAGAATCTGTACATATATGAAGGCAAATATTTTCATCAAGATTGTAACTGGCTTTTGGGCAAAATCTGCTTAAAATTTCTAAAGTTTTGAATTATAACACAAATTTTAATATGAATGTTGAGCAAAATTGCAATTGTGAAAGTCACATGGAAGAATTTTTCAAGTTATTATTATGTATTGTTCCGAATTTGACAGAACTCAGAAGTCCACCAGGATTTTATCCTGATCATACTTTGATCTTTCGATAAAGAAACAGAGAGCATTCGACAAGATCTTTTAAAAACTTCTAATGAAATTGGATATTAGTTTCGATTTAGTTATTGCACTAGTTGTTTTCATGAAATTTTTTGAGAGAATATTGTTCACATCAAGTTCAATCGAAATATTCCACACAGAGGCTTGCAATTATGTATAGTAACACGGCATAATCTAGTCTGACAAGATGAAGGTCCAGAGTTTGATACTCTATGGATTCATTTCTCTTTTATATTCTTTAGACAATCCTACAAGACGTAGACAGCAATTAGTTTTTCAATTAGGCATTATTGGGACCTTGACAGAACCCTGATCTAAAAGCAATAGAAAGTTGGTCAACATCCACTTAAAATCTTTTGTTGAACTCCTGTTGAAATCTTTCACATTTCATGGCTACTTGTTTCTTTCAAGATTTACGGTCTTCTGAACATAGTACTGACTTTTAATATAGTAGTGAACTGCTCAGAATAGTGAAATTTAGTGATTGCAAGCTTTCTCCAGAAAAAAAACGGCAAATTCTTGCAGAATTATGTTTGTATCTGTCAAGGTTCTAGTGTGAAAAAATCATACATTTTCGCTAGAGTCGAGTCTGTTTATTTAAATTATTTAAAGTTCAGGTCCCATGTTCTGTGAAAAGCAAGAAGATCATAAAGAGATATGCTACAAAAAAAAGCATCTGAATATCAACAAAAGAAACATTTTCAAGGATAAGCGATAGATGCAATGTATCCAACTGAATTGATATTACAAATATATATTCCATCTGTTCGGTTCATAAATGTACGAGTAAAAGTTTCCGTATTCCTCGACGGTTTTCGAACAAAGACGTTCGCAATAAGTGGATTGTTCTCATCAACAACACCATCGAAGAAGAATACCTCTAAGCAGATATGATACAAACCCTGAGGAGTTTGATGATCAACATCCCAAAAGGCATTTTCTGGTCCGGTAAGTTCACTCGTTACATCCATTTGACCATAGTCTGTGTATTCTGTTGGCTCGGTTGGATACATTGGAAAAACTTCCCAACGGTTGGGAGTTTGCACATCAAGATCACAGTTGCCAGGTCGTGACCAAATGATTGTAATGGCTAGATTTCCCGTGTACACACAAGTATCACTGAAACAGATTTGTCTATCTGCACATGGTGTTGAACATAACGATGATGTTTCACTTGCTGCAAGAGATATATTCGAGATTATTTTGTACGGCATATTTGCATATAAGAATCAATAAAAGTGACTAAGATTTCTAGGATAGCAATATATGTTTACTTCGAGTTCAATAAGATGATATTCATCGAATAAAGAACCGAAAAAGAGGCTTTTGCTGATCATTCTGTGATCAACGAAAAACTTTCGAAATGTACTTTGGCTTACGCCAGCTTGTGTAGATGGAAAACTTGACTATATCCGGCGGCAGAGCCAAGTGGAAGCTAAGTCCTCCACTGAGACTGAGCCATCACCACCGGATTTCTGTTCTTACCACTACGATCTTATTGTTAAAACAGAGTAATAAGCACTTCATGTTACGATAGAAAGAAAATGAGGTTGATAAACTGTCTTGTTTCTGGAAGAATATATTCGTCTTTGATTCAATACTAATCACTATAACTTCATATGATCATTATTTGAGCAATGAGAAAGCTGTATCTACCTATTATTTTTTTGTTATGTTTTGCACAAAGATGAAGTTAAAAGCTGAAAAACATATTTTCAATATGCTCAGAGTCTATGTTCTTTTCAAGAAACTCATCACTCTACTATTGAGTACAGAAACACTAAGAACGGTGAAGAAAAATGGATCAAAACTCACTTGATATTGATTCTGTAGTACTGGTCGACAGATAGCCGGAAGTTGAAACTAAAAACAAAAAAAGAATAACTCATTTTATATGAGAAAAGTTCAAAAAGAATGAATATTGTCTTTTCTCTTTGGTATAATTAAAAGTAAAATATTTGTATCACTTGGCAGAGTCTCATGTTACAGGAATTGGCTTCGATGTTCGTTGACAGTCATATTTTCATCAAATATTTCGAAGCCATCGATACCTTGAGTTCCGCTCATATTATTTCTTACACAAGCCCGCTGAAGAAGTAACTCTAAGACAAGTGGTAAAAAACTTTTTGCATCTGCTTCTAGTGAATGTTAATTGCAAATTTTAAAAACGATAGCGATTCTCATTTTATTTTTCGTCTGATAAACACAGTATTTGGTTAGAAGCCTTTTCAAAATATTTATGCGATTGAACATTTATACTTGATGAAATTATTTCGAATCAGTATCAAATAGTTCCCAGAATGAATGTGGCAGCATACCTAAAGTGCTGGTCGTTATTATCTTTGAAACCTTAACCTTTGAGAAAAATCCAAGAGTTGATAGAATAACAATAATGATTGGTGTAACGAGTCCCACAATGATTAGCAAAAGCTTCAGATTCGGATAATCACGGCACATATTTGCTTAATATCGTATATTCGTCGTTAGTCGTATTTTCATATAAAATAAAAATAAAATATCATTAGTTCAATACGAAATCCTTTCCATGATTGCAGCTCGATGAATTTGTGTATCTTTTATAAGTTTTAGCTTAATTCGATGAGTTATTCAAGATGCAGCCATGTCACACGATTACAATTGCAACAACCATGCTTTATCCATATTTCGAAACAATTGACATTTCAGCGTAAACAAATATCAGAAACGGGATTGATGTTTTTCTGCTACAGGACAAAAAACCGGAATTTTTCATCAGTACTGTGTGGAAAACTGCAGTCGATGGATACACATTATCAGAGGTTCAATGTCTTGTTTTCTGTGAAACATGAGCACAATATTGCTCAATTCTAAACAATCAAACTCTATCATCTGACCGGGATGAAGTTCTTTTCATAGACATGAGACATAGCTTTTTCAGTCAATCAATTTATAGGATAAAACAACACTCACTAGAGGACATTGCTAACTGACTGGCAAGGTCTCAGCTGTACCAAATGTGACAATCTAAAATCCTGATGACGTATATATATCTCTACCTAAATAGAATATGAGGGTGATGTTGTTTTTGGTGTTGCTTAATTTCATCAAATCTGACTTATGGAAAGCATAAAAGAACGTATTCATTTCTGGTAATACCAAAATTTAATATCTCTTACATTGAAACTTAAGAAGCCAGTTTTCTATGCTGAATGAATAAAATCCCTCAGAAACAAGGTAAAAATATGTGTGTCACAATTGTAACTTGGTAACAGATTTGTTTCTTGGTGAATTTATTCGATCGTGTCGAAACTTTCAGAAGATATGAAGTTTACAAAGTTCTATAACATACCTAGAAAATAGCTTAATGTGAGATTGGCTCCTATTGTCAATGTTTCGAGAGTGGCTATTTTTGTTTTCAGAGAATCACTCTTGAGTGAGAGGCAGCTAGTGTAATATTTAGCCGATAGCTACTTCCTTCTGCATGTAAATATCAGAAAAATTGCATTTTGAAGATGCAATTACATTTTCATAGATGAAACAATTTCTTTTCAAGGTAAATCAATGATATGTGTGGTTACAAGAGCATAACAAATGTCAGAAGCTCTTTTTAAGATTACTTCTGTCGTTTTTTTCCGTATAAACTACAATTATATAAAAGCCACACAAAATCGATTATTATTCGATTTGAATCAAAAAATGAACAAAGATATAGAAAATTCATGGATTATTCTAATTGGTTTTGATTGAAACTGATTTAGAATCTATTTTTCTCATTAGTTTGTTTTTATACGGGAGACCAATCATGAAAAAATGAAATTCTTCATTCTTACATTAATATATTTGTATAACTGATTTCACGATGGATTTAGACAAAGGAAAGAATTCAATTTTGATCCTTAATTTATTAAAAGTGTGAATTTCATGCAAACATCATTGTTTTAAGCAATTATTTCGAACATACTTATATAATTGTTTTTTTTTTTTTTTTTTTTTATAAAATTTTCTTGCTTTTCAGAAATAAGTTTCGATTAATATTCCCTCGACAAATATACAGTAATACTCAGATTGTTGAGAGAACTCATATTCAGCGAAGGTTATTACTTATATAAATAGTTTTGAAAAAAAAATCTTTTGATTATTTTAATGTATAGCAGAAGCACTATTTCAAGGTTAGAAAAATAGAAGTTATTTGGTAAAATATAAATGCAACAATGCTTTTATATGTAAGAACAAACCAATTTGGAAATAACAATGTATTCTACTTAAGTAGATCGACTAATTTTTGATGTAATTAATTGGTCTTTTTGAGTTAACAGTAAACAGTCTTGTATAAGGTATATGCATACGCATTTGTAGTAAAATTCCTATCTAAAAACGTTTGAACATTTAACTTAAAAACAAGTGGTTTCTTCTCATTCGTAAAACATTATTACTTCAATGATGTATTCACCCAGAATTGAGATTGTATCAGTATCTCGAGGCAATGAAAACTCAATTGAGAATAGAACAAGAGAACCGTCAAACAGGGCGTGGATAATCAATTACTGTCGTACATTCAATATTTTCGCTTCTCAGTCACCAACTACTGACCAGTACGAAATTCAAAACCAAGTACTTTCTACTCGATTACTCTTGTTTCTTTTGATCTCTTCTATTATTGTACTGGTAATTTATACATCCCAGCAGAACATCACTGAAACAATTAGCATTTCCAAACCGAAATTCGATCAATTTCGTCATCTCGTGCAACGTTACTCGACAACACTGAATTGTCCATGTGTAAATATTGCTGTGATGCACAACACATTTATTTTACTGTATCCAGATATGCATCAAGTGTGCTCTAGTGATTTTGTCAGTACTAAATGGTTTGCACATATATATGCAGCCGCTGATCTATATATTAGCAATGATTTTAGCTACATTGGTGGTCCTCTGTTTCAAGCACTTGCAGCATTTTGCAATTTAGCCAAGAAAAGTCTGAACGATGCCTTGGTTATTTTCAATACTACTCGTTTCATTTCGTCCACAATGTTAGCTGAAGATCTCTTTGTTCAAAGAACTCAGTCAACTATTGATGCATTCAAAAGAACGGCGATCAAAAGCTTTATTGAACCTTTCAATGTAGTACGAGATATTACTCATTCAAATTATCTTATGTCCGGTTTACTAACTAACGCCCACATATTTATTAATGATTTTTTGATGGCCAATATCGCATTCGAATATTACAATAATGGAAGCTGTAATTGCTTCTTGACACCCACATGTCGTGTACCTTTAACACGTCGACCAATTAATGGTAGCAGAATATTCACAATACCTGGTTTGTACATTGGTTGTTACGTGGTTGAAGCAATGCGAAGCTCTTCATTAGAATGTTTCTATAATCAAACTTGTCTAGAACAAGTCGAATTGATGCTTGAATCTCCATTACTTTTCAATGCAACTGCACTCAATCCATTAAGAAGCCAATTTGCTGTTAATTCAAGCATTGATAATCTTCTATCCAATGCCATGATCGAACTCTGGAATCAGAATATCTCCTGGACGAATTATTATAAACAATGCAATCCAAACTATTGTACTTATACGTTTACTAATAAATATAATATTTTATATATTATCACTACACTTATTGGACTGATCGGTGGGCTTTTTCAAGTTCTTAAATTCATTGTACCACATGCTATACGATTTATTCGACGTCGATTGTTTCGTATAATACCACCATCCATCACACCGCCCAATAATATGTCAGGTATTGATCCATGTCACGCTTGCAAAAGATCCAACCCTATTTTGATTTTGTTTATATTGATTCATTCGTTGTTGAGAAACTTTCGTGGTGTCTTTCTAAAGAGTCATTCTCCTGATACCTGATAAAATGAAGTTGATCTCATACAAAAAAAAAAATCTAGACCGATTTTTCAAAATTTATCTTTCTGCTATTCATACAAATTGAGTTGAATACTTTCGAAGTATGTTCATAAGACAGTGAGAATCTGAAGAAAGTTAGAAATATTTATATTATTGACTAAAAACAAAATCTATGTTCAAATACTTAGTGTTCTATGTTTCGAAGCCAACTGTTTTTCGATACTCTTAGTGATTGTCACATCATGTGAAGCTTTCACGAAACACTGACGCAATCCAAAGATATGATCCAGTGTTTATTTTTCAGAAGAAAAAGATCACTAAGAAAAACACCCCCATAGTAGCAATTGAGAGTTGT